TAATTAGGGAGAACTGAGTGTGGGGTATGAAGAAACTCTAAATATATTCTCACTTTTTCTATAAATCACAAACTTCTAAAAAATTAGTTTATTTTTAAAACTGCTTAAGTACTTTTCAAAACAAGCCAGCGTGCCTGGCCGGTGTCGGTGTGGCTCAGCGGTTGAATGTCGACCCATACACCAAGAGGTTGCTGGTTTGATTCCTGGTCAGGGCACATGCCCAGGTTGTGGGCCCAATCTCTAGTAGGGGGCATGCAGGAGACGGCCAATCGATGTTCTCCCTCATCGATGTTTCTATTTCTCCTTCTCCCTTCCTTTCTCTCTGAAACCAATAAAGAAAAAAAAAACTTAAAAAAAAAAAAAAGAAAGAAAACGAGCCACCAGCCCTGGCCAGTCTGGCTCAGCGGTTAGAGCATCTGCCCGTGACCCAGAGTCCCGGATTTGGTTCCCGCTGCGGGTATGTACCTCCCTTGCAGTTTGTCCCCGGCTGTGGCTGCGGTCATGTGGGTGGCAGCCACTCGATGTATCTCTCTCACGTCAGTGTTTCTCTCTCTCTCTTCCTTCCTCTCTCCCTCCCACTCTATCTGAAGATAAATGCAAAAAAAAAATATCCTCAGGTGAGGATAAAAAAAAAATTAAAAACAAGCCACCAGTATGTTGGAAATTTCAGTCCCTTAAATGTGACTGCTTTACCTTCTTTCCACAGAAGTCTGATTGTTATGTTAACCTGTCTTGGTAGCAAAATATATTAAAATACTTGTGTTATGCTTGATAAGCTCAGGCACAATATATTCCTTTTGGAAACTAAAAGCTCATTAATACATTTTCCACATTGAAAATGAGTTGTTTTCAAAACATTTCCATTTAAGTCAAGTGTATGAAACTTGAAACACATTTTTCCCACAGAAATGTTATTACAAATAGTGGTTAAGTCCCAGGCCTGCCTAGTGAAGCTCATTAAATTCACTATAAGCAAAAAGACATTTGCGATGAAAATAGTATAACACTACATCATGAAAAAAAGAAAACTTGTCTTTTAAATTCAAAGGATACATTTAAATATACAATTTAAATTTACTCGAGTTGATTCCATCACCCACAGTAAGCTAGTGGCTCACTTTGGGCCTCTGCATGTAACCTTAAACACTACAATTGTGGAAATGGAGAACGGAAGGCCTTAAACTGGGATGGGTGGGAGATGGAGAGACCCAATGCAGTCTGGGAAGGCAGTGTGTTGTTTTAACCCAGGTTGGGGGTGGGAGGGTTTCTACTGTGATTTCCAGGAATACAATGAAACTGGTACCCGACAGGATGGAAGGAGAAAAAAAAGGGACATGGCTTCTCACAATCCTAATCAGTAATCAGTAATGTGCTACTACCAGAGATTGGGTAACAGGATATGTCTGCTGGAAGTTGGTAAGCCTGGATGAGCAGCTGGTGGGATCTAAGTCCACAGGTGGGCAGCAGCAGACCTTGGACTTGAGCTCCTCACAGCAGTGTGCTACTTTAGCAGAGGACAAAGAAAGAAAGTGGGTTTACATAGGAGACCTCTGGAAATGCTGACGGGGTGTGAAAAGGACATACATTTCCAACGTAAAGAATCAGAAGAGGAGCCTGGCCGGTGCGGCTCAGTGGTGGAGCATCGACCCAAGCACCAAGAAGTCGCCGGTTTGATTCCCAGTCAGGGCACATGCCCAGGTTGTGGGCCCAATCCTCAGTAGGGGGCATGCAGGAAGCGGCCAGTCAATGTTCTCTCTCATTGATGTTTCTATCTCTCTCCCTCTCAAACCAATAAATAAAAAGTAAGAGGTAGAAATGAAGTTTCTTATAGTGGTACCAACCAAAACGTTAAACCCAGCTGGAGTCACCATTTCTAAAGCACAGTGAGGCCTACATTTGATGTATTTCAGGTTTGTCTATCCTGGTTTGAGGGGGTACTTTACACATAATTTTGTTTCATAAACACTACACATTTGTTAAATTAAAAGAAACAAGAAAACATTATCACTAAAAAACTATAAGAGCTTTTCAAAAGCATATTTTAAAACAAGTATTATTTAAAAATCATGTATTTCCAAGTATTTTTTAAAACCATATTACAACCCTGGCTAGTGTAACTCAGTTGGTTGGGCATCATCCCATGCACTGAAAGGTTGCTGGTTCGATCCCTGGTAGGGGGTATGCAGGAGGAAGTCGATCCACACCCCTCTCTCATGTCTATGTTTCTCTCTCACTCTCCTTCTCCCTTTCTCTCTCTCTAAAAATCAATCTTTTTAATGTTTTTTCTTTATTGACTTTAGAGAGAGAGGGAGAGGGAGAGAGAGATAGAAACATCAATGAGAGAGAACATTGACTGGCCGCCTCCTGCATGCCCCCCACTGGGGATCCGGCCCACAACCTGGGCTATGTCCTGACTGAGAATTGAACTGGCGACCTCTTGGTGCATAGGTCGACGCTCAACCACTGAGCCACACCGGCCAGGCTAAAATTCAATTTTTAAAAAATCTTAAAACCATAATACATGATGGTCTTAAAACAACAAGAAAAAATGTTTTAACTGTTCTTCGTCTCTCTATATATACCATCTCCACCAGTGCTTACAACCTGGTAGCCTTCCTTCCATGCCTTTATGAATTTTCCTTTAGGTGTTCGAATGTATGGATGCATTTTTACAAAATTTTATAAATCATAATAATATGATATCCTAGAGACAAATGTCATGACATTCCATTACATAGATATGCCAAATTCATTTAACCATTTCCTTACTGACAAGTATTCTTTGCTGTGTTTCCTTTATTTTGCTTTTTGCCACTGGAAATGCTACAATAAAAATCTTCATACATATATTTTGTGTTATCCAAGAAATCTCACCAGCTCATGATAAAAGTCTGTTTCTCGCTCACACTACCGTCCGATTCGTCAGGCTGCTCTGGCAGTCTGCCTCCAGCACTTCAGGGGGCCGCCTTACTATGGTCTGGCCATCTTCGCGTCCTTCACTGCCAGCAGCCGGCAGGGGACAGGGCTTAGATGACAAGGAATGGCTTGCGAGGAAGGCTGATGAGGCCTAAGATGCTTCTGCCCAAATTCCATTGGCTACACTCCAATTGTGTGATCCTAAACTAACTGCAAGGGAGGCTGGGAAATGCAGTCTTCCTATAGGCCCACACGGAGGTAATAGATGAGCATTTAGCTAATTTTGCCAAATATCTTTATATTGATGGCTTTATGCCAAAGGATATATTCCTGGACTGTGAAATTTATATGTGAAGAGTGTGTGTGTGTGTGTGTGTGTGTGTGTGTAATCAATTTGCAGAAAAGACCTTAAGTCCTAGTTCTGCCAGCAGAAGAAAACCACTCAGCACCATTCTGGCCCTTCTAAGTCTGCTCTCTGTGGGCACTAAAAACCTGGGAACTCAGTTGACTAAATTTGTGTCGACAGGGCCTGGCTTAATTTCCATGCACTGAGCGGCACGTGTTGAGAGGGCAGAACGGCAGTGCAGTGGCTTCAGGTGATGTGCTGCACTGTGCAGATTCCTGGCAGTCGCCTTCCCTGGAATTTTTGCACTACTGGATTTTCTAAAGCCAGCAATTGCTTATGACCTGTTCCCACAGTCTTTCCGACAGTTTAGTAAACATCTAATTTCTTGTATAAAATCCCTTCCTACTTGAAATATTTAAAGCAATTTGTTATCCAAACCAAGAACTAACTTATATATCAACCTAGCATTTGTCTTTTGTCTTTGTTTATGGCCCATTACTTTTCTATAAATAGTTTAAAATTTTTTATTTTTGAATAATTTGTTTTATATGATAGCTATGGGGTTGCTATCTCCTCAAGCCTTAGCTAACATAAATATTCTCTAAAACTTCTAGTTTTTATCTTTTCTACTTAAGTCATTAATCCATCTGGAATCTATTTTTACAAATATTGTGACTGCTAGTATCATTTATTAAACAATCATGTTTTCCCACCCAACTGAAATACCATCCTCGACAAAATGTCTTGATCTATTTCTAGGCCACCATCTATCCAAGTGACCTATTTGTTCATTCCTAAGCAGTGCTATATGTGTTGATTTTACTTCATAAAATATTTTAACAATTGGTTTATACGTTTAAATTCAACAAAGATCATGTAAAAGATTAACTTTACTAACAGGTTTTAAATAGAACTCGGAATAAAACTTATCTTTCTATCTCTGTGCATGTATTTGAACTTTCTATAAATATTAATAACAGAAACAATTGAAAACCTGGCTAATATAAGGAAACAATGGTCAACTGTAACCTGATTTCAAATGTTTAAGAAGAGTGACCTCGCTCTTCTCACTGATTGCTTTATAGTAATTGAATGTTATGATACCGAATTTATAAAGTAATGTCATCCTTTTCAATTATTCAGTTGTCTGATTTATTCATTTACTGATATGAAATTCACATACCACTGAGTTGCCCCTTTAAAGTGTTCAATGTGTTATCATCATAACTACCTAGTTAATATTAATAATAGGAAGAGAGCAAAGGGAAGCCAGACGGTGTAAGCATGGTCATCTGGGCAGCTTCACCAGGAAGCTACAGCTTCACACTCCCCAGGGAACCACGGGTCCATGCCCTGCAGATAACTGGGGGAAGGGATCAAACAAAGGGGGAGATGGGTGCATGTGCAGTGAAGTTGGGGTGAGGTAGGGTAGATGCTTGTCTGTCAGTCTAGCCTGAAAAAGAGATAATTGGCTAGGAGGGTGGAGCACTGCCAGCATGCAAATCTTGGAAGAGTAAAATCCCCAGAGTTCCCTCTCTCTTGTGCTCCTTATTCCCTCTCACTCTCATGCTCCATGACCTGCACGTTCCCAGCCTGTTCCCTCTCCATAGCCAGGTGGCCTTAGGCAGCCACATGGCCCATGGCAGCGCAGACCACAGACGCAGTGGAGTGCAGCTAGGAACACAAGCTTAGCTAGCCAGATACTGGACTGGACTTTAATATGGAGTAGCAACTCTGGGCAGTGGCCTTAATCTTGGCCTTGCTGAAGACGAGATTGGATTTTTTCCATGGTGGGAAGGATGGAGATGGGACCTTGGATGGGAACCCCCTTAAGTTTCCATGAAACCCCATCCTCCTGTGGGGCCCTCAGAAAATTATTTTCCTTGTGGTACCCAAAGAACTCCACTTCCACTGGTAACAAATTCAGTAACTTTTAGTACATTCACATTGATAAGTACATTGATCACCTCTTATCTAATTCCGATTGGTCTAATTTTTTATTATTTAAAAAAGTGGGAAAACAAAAGTGCAATTTTCTTTCAATAAATATCATCTGATCCTCATGCAATTATATTGCAGAAGGCGAAGTCCATGATTTTAAATGATGGTAGCAATTTACCAACCAAGTAATCAGTTCTCACACAGTTTCCATAATTGCAGCAATTTCCTTGAACTGTCTGTAGAAATTCTGGAGAGAAAGAAGAAAAATATTATTAATTTTGCTTTCAGAGGTAATTTAAGTGGTTCTTTTAATAATATCTGACCACCAGAGGTTACATAACATTAAGATTACATTTTAGTGTGATATTCTCAAATATTATTAAAGGCTATTCTAAGAAACAAGGAAGTATAATTTGGTACTACATGGAAAAATATTATTGCAGAGTTGGATAATAAGCATGTGGTGAAACTTTTCAAAAAGCATATAGGAAAGTTCTTTTGAGATCACACCAGAAATACTTATTAACTACCCAGCACCGCCCTAAAAAATGAAGATAAAAACAGAAAATGACAGGTTGGTTCCTAGGCTCAGATCACTTTAAAGTGAAAGACTGCATGTCAGGGGCTGTTTTGTTTAAGAGATACGTTCAGTTGCAGTAAGAGAGACTCTGACAGTGCCTTGAATGGTAGAAGCTTATTTTTCTTTCATTTAAAAATTGAGCTAGTCTTGATAGTTCTTCCATAGAAGTCTTCTTTTGTCAAATCTCAGATAAGACAGGGATCAAACAAATTGTCTTCCTTCTCCTCAACCTGCCAGGAAGCAGGGAGGCCAATTTAAAATTTAATCTCCGCAAAAATAATGTATATATTTACATTTCCCTTCTTTTTTGCTACTTAAGAATAGTTTTCTTTTAAACTTATCTTTATTGTTGTAAATATTACAGATGTTCCCCCCTTCTCCCCCATTGATCCCCCCTTCACCATACTATTGTCAGTGTCCATGGGTTATGCATATATGCATATAAATTCTTTGGTTTATCTCTTCCCGTTCTCCCCTCCCCACTTCCCTTTGAGGTTCATCAATCTGTCCCTTGCTTCTCCATCTCTAGATCTATTTTGTTCTTCAGTTTATTTTGTTCATTAAATTCAACATGTAAGTGAGATCACATGATACTTGTCTTTCTCTGATAGTCTTATTTCGCTTACCATAATACTTTCCAGGTGTTTTAATTTATATGTAAATTGATTATGGAATGAGGCAGAATTTAACTAGTTCTTTACAGAGTGAAGGAGCTGGGAAGAAACTGACCAAAGAATTGATATGCATATATGCATTACCTACGGACACAGATGATGAAGGCAGTGGGAGGGGGAGCGGGGGTGGAAGAAAGAAGCAGAGTGGAGGAAGTCAATGGGGAAAAGGGGGAGGAGCATCTATAATACTTTCAGCAATAAAGATAAAGATAAATTTAAATATATATGTGTATGTGTATACACACACACACACACACACACACATATACATACACTAATGGCCCTGGCCAGTGTGGTCCAATTGGTAGGGCATTGTCCCATGCACCAAAAGGTTGCCAGTTTGGTTCCCAGTAAGGGCACATGCCCTGGTTGCAAGCTGTTCAATGTTTTGCTCTCCCATTGATGTCTCTCTCTCTCTGTCCATCTCCCTTATTCTCTCTAAAAATCAATAAATACACACACACACACCATAAAATTTTCAGCTATAAAAAAGTTACAAATTAAAAGCTCAAAGAATGTTGCCAAAGTCTCAGTCCTGTTATGTGATTAACAGGCTCTGTTTGCCATGTAAAAACTAACTTTAAAAGAGTTGCCCCATTTGTGTGTTTTTTTCCTAGAAGAAAAAAGCATCCTGCAGGTGGAATCTGAGAGCATAAATGCTGCACAGCAAAATATGAATTAGCCCAGGATTCTGAATTATAAAAAGAATTAAAACCTATATTCTCATTCTCTTTTGAAATTGATTGTGTCTTTATATTCAGTTGAAGACTACTCACATATCACAATATGCTATATTTATTTCCTTTTTAATGAAGTCCTAATTCTTTTCAAAACACTAATTAGCATTAGTAATGTTGAATCTGTGACCATTATTTTTGGTTCTAAAGCAGAGATATCAGTTTTAAAAGAAAGAAACCAAAGAGGGAAAAAAACCTTAAAATGTAATTTGTAAAACAGAACTACCATATGATCCAGCAATCCCACTTCTGTTCCAAAGAAAATAAAATCACTATCTCAAAGAGATACCTGAACTCCTATGTTCATTGCAGCAGTATTCACAATAACCAACGTATGGAAATAACCTAAGTGCTGACAGATGAATGGATAAAGAACACGTGATATATAAACCCCAGCCAGCGAGGCTCAGTGGATTGAGCGTTGGCCCATGGACTGAGAAGTCCCGGTTCAATTCCTGGTCAGGAAACATGCTTGGGTTATAGGCTTGATCCCCAGTAGGGGGCGTGCAGGAGGCAACTGATCCATGTTTCTCTCTTACATGATGTTCTCTCTCTCTCTCCCTTCCTCCCTAAGAAAATCAATAAAAATATATTAAAATAATAATAATTTATCACATTCCCAAAGAAAACAAATTCATATCTTTTGTATTAATAAATATAAAGCCCATCAAAGTAATTGCAAATAAAAACAATTACTATTCTCCCTTCAGGAAGATTTTATACATCATTTTTAAGCAGCAAGTACAGAACAATGAGCAAAAACTGAATGAGTTAAATCACAAACCTGAAACTGTGGAATTGTCATTTCAAATGACTTGATCTTTATTTGGCCTGAATGATCTGCCACTTTCAGCATCACCGCAACATAAGGGTACTTCAGTGATCTGCAACTGTCTGAGCTCACAGCCATACCCAGTTTCCACTGAAAATCTACAAGCTGTAATGAAACAGTACAAAACAATACATTGGTAATAATATTGCTCTGAATGCAGACATTTATTTAATTTTACTGTTCTCACATTCAACTTTACCAATCATGGTAAAAAAAAAAATCTTTATTTTAATATTGCTGGGGGAACAGCAACCAAATGAAAATGGAGAGAGGCAATAAGGGATAGAAAGAGTTAGGAAACAATACTGTCATAATTACAAAAGGAAAAAAACAAAAACAAAAGTCTCCACCAGACGTGTAATGGAAGTAGAAGATATGGCAGTACTGGTTTTCCTTTCATTTTGCTCTTGCACTTAAGGGGACTCCAAATGCTTTAGATTGTCTCTTACTTCTTTCCTGTTATGTATGCCTTCCCCCATTCTACAACCTGAAGGTCCTAAAATGGAAGATGAGTTATATACCATCTTCACATTTGATTGAGGCACACATGGGAACCAATCCAGTTTCTTCACCACAGTCCTGGACATGAACCTTCATTAGCATAAATACTGGGTGATAGGTGGTTTTAGATTGTATCACAGTTGGTGATAGACAACTTCTAGGTGATGAGCTATGCAGTTCACATGTATTAAATGCCTCACTGAATCATCATAACATTATAGGCTGTTATTTCCATTTTGCAGGTGACACAACTGAATTTCAGAGAGCTTAGATAATGTGCACAAGGTCACATATTTCTAAAATCAGAACTGAAATCAAAGTCTGTTTGACTCCAAAGATTACATGCTTATTGACTACTGGCTGGCTCAATACTTTTTAGCTAATTCCTGTCAATGATTGTTCAATGTCGGTACGGCATAAAACAAGGTTGGCTAAATGCAGCTCTTAATACTGACTCTAGACCATGAGTGGAGGAATTAGCACTCAGAAAAAACATTTGTCTACTGACTGACACCTTTTGCTACCCAATTAATGCTGACTGTATAAAAGCTTTGCTTGTTAACAAATTTCCTTTTATACAAGGTGGGATTGGTATGAGGGTGAGGACCAAATTTTCCTCCTGTCTCAGACTGGCCTTGGACCAATCAGCTGGAGCATTAAGATCAGGCAGGTGCTGACAAAAGGTTAATGTATTTAATAAGTAAAAAGACTGTATAGGTACATGTTTTAAAAATTGATTTTAGAGAGAGAGGAAGAGAGAAAAACATCCATTGGCTGTCTCCTGTCTGCCCCCTACTGGGGATAGGGCCCAAAACCCAGGCATGTGCCTTGACTAGAAATTGAACCAATGACCTTATGGTGCATGGGACAACTGCTCAACCAGCACAGCCTCATTGGCCAGGGCTATAGGTACATTTTAAATAAAATAATCCCACCCCAAAATAAAGAAAGGATAGATACATAACAAAAGAACTACAAACGAATAAACATATAAAAAGGAAACAGCAATTTTAAAAGGAAATGCAATTTTATTTTTTTTATCCTCACCCGAGGATATTTTTCCATTTTTTGTACAGATAGAGTGGGAGGGAGAGAGAGGAAGGAGAGAGAGAGAGAAACATCGACGTGAAGGGACACATCGAGTGGCTGCCACCCGCACGACCAACCAGGGCCAGGGACAAACTGCAACCGAAGTACATGCCCTTAGCGGGAACCGAACCCGGGTCTCTCCGGACCGCAGGCCGACACTCTAACCGCTGAGCCAAACTGGCCAGGGCAGGAAATGCAATTTTAAACCACAATGAAATACCACTGCACACCTACCAAAAGGGCAAAATTTTAAGTCTGACAATTCTAAGTATTAGGAAAAAAGGATGTGTCATATGCTGTTGATGGGAGTCTAAATTAGGCCAATTTTCTGGAAAACTGGCTTTACCTAGACAAGCTGAAGTTATACACACCCTGTGATCCAGTGGTTCAACTATGAATATAACCTAGAAAAACGCGTGCATATGTACACAGGATACATTTACCAGAATGTTCCTAGTAAGCTTTAATAATAGCCCTAAACTGTGAATAACCCAAACATCATCAGTAATAGAGTGGACAAATGAAATTCTGTACAGCAATAAAAATGAATGAACTTAGCTACACTTAACACTAAAAAAAAAAAAAATGCCAAAAGAAACAAGTCAAAAAGTTATGTCACTGAAGAGTTACATTCCATTTGCTCTCTGCATTCCCGGGAAACCACCCATAAAAAAAATAAAAATAAAAAAGTTATGTGATTCCATTCACTTAAACTTGAGAAACAGGAAATATAATAGTTTAAGGATGCATAAATAGATGGCAAAGCTATAAGGAGAAGCAAGAATATGATTATCACAAAAGGACAGGAAGGAAGGAAGAGGTTTGATTGGGGAGGGGCATATGCTAGGTACTGGTAATGCTCCATTTACTGAGTTTTTATTGTGGTTACACAAATATTCAATTTTAAATTACTCTCCTTTTTTGTAACTGTATGAGATGAAGGTTAACTATATTTACTGTGGTAATCATCATTTCACAACGTATGTTATGTCGAGTCATTATGTGGTATGCCTTAAACTTATACAGTGTTCTATGTCAATTATATCACAATAAAGCTGGAAAAATTAAAATAACTCATTAGTGTGTCCATATGTTTTGTATATGTTATTTTACGCATATAGTGGGGTGGGGATGTAAGTCAGTGATTCCTCGTTGAAAAGAAAACGTTATTGTAGGCGTGGGTGGTCAAGGGAAAGCGTTACAGAAGGGAGAACTTTAAACTCAGGTTTGAAGAGTAAATACAACTAAAATTGAGTGAAAAATGTGGCTTATTTATATATTCCATAAATATACACCTGCCAAAGAATAAATGCTTAATAAATATTAAGCTGAACCAACCAGAGATAAAAAATAAGATCTGATTAAGGGATAGCACATTTATCTGTCTTAAAGGGGAAGGCTCTTGTCAGGAAGTTTGGAAAGTAAAGTTGAAAAAAGTGATCAAGAGGCCAATAATTCTTTGCAAATTGTATGTTTTCAGGTTTCCAAAATTCTCTCAGATATTCTATCTTGTGAAAAACAACATATCACATAAGTCATTTAAACTTTTCCTGTAGGCAATAAGGACTCAGAGAATGACAGAAAAGTAGTGTATTGATTAAAAATGGAGGCAGCAGAACACAATAATCCAGGTTTAAAGTTTTAAGTGCCTGAAAGAAGGTGGTGGCAGGCAGGACTGAGTTGAACCTGTAAAGAATGAATCATTAGGTACTGATGATTGTTTACATAGTTATGGGAGGTATCAAAGACAACTATAAAAATTTGAGCCCAGATGACTGGGAGAATTTTGATATCATGTATCAGTCAGGACTTTATATATTTTAAGTCCAAAGGTATTACCAAAAAGTGAGAAGGAATGTCTAAATAGGAATGTTCAATAAGTGACTAGAAATCCAAGAACACAATTCAAGGGAGTTCATGATTACAGACAAAATTTGTATCAGTTCAAAGGTGATGTCCAAAAATTTAACTGGACACTTACTTATTTTTTTTAAATATGTTTTTATTGATTTTTTGAAAGGGAGAGAAACATTGATGTGAGAGAGAAACATTGATCGGCTGCTCATCCCCCACTGGGGATCGAGCCTGCAACTCAGAAATATTTCCTGACCAGGAATTGAACCAGGGACAACACTCAGTCCACTGAGACACACCTGTTGGGCTAACTGGGCACTCTTTAAACTTATTCAGTGTGTACAACTCCCTGAAGCAAGAAATTCCATTTTTACTGTCCACAGTAAAACGTTGCTTATGTCACTTTCAAAGTCTGAAATAAAACTCTGAATTATCTAGATTTCAAGGAGAAAAGCAATTAAGGAGCACAATGCTGAAATCCACTGACCATTACAAAGGTAAAATTGGCAAGTGAGGAAATAGGGAGAGCTGCCATGCAGACACTTACTGGGCAAAGTTAGTATTCCTGGGTTAAAGAAAGCTGGAATTAGGTTTATGAGATGAGAATTTCCAAAATTCTAAACTGAACATTTAAATGCAAATTAAAAGCAAACCTTCTAATAAATGCAGTTTAGCTTTAAATAGGAATCAACTGCAAAGATCTTTAAAAGAATAAAAAAAATAGAGCCCACTTATCACTAAGAATGAAGTAATGTAGCCTCAACATTCTTATAGAATGAAGAAAATAATTTACAAGGAAAAGTTAGTAGTGAAAAAAATATAAAAGCATCCAGTAGTAAAATGAATACACAGAAAAAAAAAAAATCAGAAAGCAAATGTATTTTAAAATGTGAACTAAGAAATTAGCTGTAGTCAGTTGCACTAAAAATTAATTGATATGGTAGCTGAAGTTATTAGGAATATAAAAACATCACTATAAACACTGCCTATAAAGATAAACTTCATAAAGAGCATTTCAGTTTAAATCTCATTTTTATTTTTCAAAACACAACATGGGAGAAAATTAGAAAAATAATGATACATAACTCCATCCTAAAAATGATTTTCTTATTCCTGTGCCCCATTTCAAGTCTTTATCTCTATGTGGTTTTTATAGCTAGAGTCACAAAATACACACTTTCATGTTCTCTCCTTTAAAAAAATTTTTTTAATTGATTTTTAGAGAGCAAAAACTATCAATACCCTGATTGGAAATCGAACCAGCAACCTTGCAGTGCACAGAACGATGCCCAACAGAGCCACACTGGCCATGGCTGTCCTTTTTAAATCAAAGTTTTCAAATGGAAAGAATGTTAAGTGTTTTGCACACATTCATCTCTCTCAAAAGCGCTATGAGGAAAAGACTGATTAAACAACTCATCCAGGGACAGAAAACTAGTAGAGCTGGTATTCCAATACAAATTTGTCTGATTCCATGCTCCACACATTTTTTATTCTACCTAGCTGCAACATGATTATTATTTGGAATTAAACTAAGTTTCAGTAGGTCAAGTAAGTAGATAGGTCTGGAATGGGACAAGAATGTTTAGCATCTTCTGCATGTTAGACCTGAGCTGTCCAATACAGTAGCCACTAGCCAAATGTGACTATTTAAATTAATTAAAAACAAATAGAAAAAAATTCAGTTCCTCAGTTGCACTAGCTACATATCAAGTGCTCAACTGTCATATGTGGCTAGTGCTACCACACTGGACAGTGCTAACAAAGAACATTTCCATCATTGCAGAAAGTTCTATTGGACAGTACTATGCTACACCTGTGTTTATATGTGGAAATTGAATAAGGCATGAAATTATTAGCAAATTTCTGCTTAGAATTCATATTAGCTCTCACTCAAGTAAACATCTGCAGTTACCAACCTTCTTATCTTGTTTAATGGCACCTTCCTCCATATTTTGCTTTATTTTCCTAATAGCACTTATCATTATCTGAAATTACCATGTTTACTTATTAACTGTCTCCCGAAGGAAATGCAACCTTCAAGAGAGTAGGAGCATTATTGACCTAGTTTAGTACTGAATCTATTGAACAATACCTGGTACAAAGTGGATGTTCCAAAAAGTATTTATTGAATTACTATGTTTAGAAGTTCTGTTAACTGGTCTCTAAAGATAGCTTCTAAAAATTAGTATATGTACATGTTGCTCCTCACCTCAAGAAATGGAGCTTATTTTCCCTAATCTGAGCTGTTCTTGTGATTGCTTTGACTGGAGGAATATGGCAGAAGAGGCTTTCTGGAACCCTTGAGTACAGGCCTTAGAAGAAGCGGAGGTGTCTGTGTCCTTCTTCATGGAATGCTGGCTCTGGGACTCTCCCTCCTGGAACCCTGCCACCGTGATAAGGACAGGAACGTGAAGGAGAACCAAATCACTCCAATTATCAGCTCCACCTGAGCTCTCAGCCAAAGTCATCACTGACCCCTCTTGATTTCCAGCCCAATTAGACTTCTAGAGGACTAAAGCTTTAGCTGAAATGATACGGAGTAGAAACTACCACCCAGCTAAGCCTAAATTAACCCAGAGTCACAAGAGACAATTAAATAGTTGTTTCAAACCACAAAGTTTTGGGTAGTTTGTTATGCAGCAATAGGTAACTAAAGGAGAGCAAATATAGGTAGCAGAAAATAACTTTATCAATAAGCTTAATATGATATATGGCATCAAAAATGTATTCTCATAACTATATAATCTGAACTATATTAGTATAGGAATTTTAGCAAATACAAATAACCACAAAATATTCAGGTAGCCAGTTAACTCTGAGATATTAATACAGTAAAAATACAGAAAAATAAAGTCTTTCCCATTAAACACATCCACTACTAGTAAGTTCATAATGTAACTACCCAGCAACACCGAACGTATATCATCTTCCCTCAAAAACGTTTTTCATCCTCATTTCATTTCTACAGATGACCCCCATTTTCCTAGTGATTTACATCTGAACTTTGGTCAACTCTGATTTTTCTCTCTCCTTTACTCAAAACATGTATGAATTGCTAGATACTCAAGATTTTATTTCGGCCAATGCCACTGAGATTTACTCCTTTCTTCCCAATCTTACTGCTACAAACCTACTCAAAGCCTGTTTTTAAAATCTTGCCTTGAATTTTAATGCAGTCTCCTAATTAGTTTCTTGTCTATAGTCTTTCTCGACTCCAATCCAGAGTATAGACTCTAAACACTGCTTATAAATTAACAAAATCTCATGTAACAGGTCCAAACCTGTAAAGTCTGCTGCCTCAAGAGCTAGTTACCAACCATTTACCTAGCACTAAAGTCATGTCACAGCAGTACCGGAGAGTTTTCCCACTTATCCTCAAACTGGGCAGCATTCCTTCTTTAAATTAACTTTCGATCTTTACAGCCTTGCTCATGCTGTTCATTCCTCTGGGCATAAAACTCTCAAACATTTTCTTAAATTCAGCACTCCTTCCAAATTCTACCAGCTCTGTGAAGTCCTTCCTGGTTTACTCAACCTTCCTATGAACACTCTATGTCATGTCGTACACCCTAGCACTTAAAACATTCTTTGTATACTAGTCATCTGTAAATTTGTTTCCTCCATCCACTAGATTGTAAATGCCTTGAGGGCAAAGGACACCAGTTCGATTGACGATCTGGGCACATGCTCAGGTTTTGGGTTCTGGCCCATCAGGGTGCATGCAGGAAAAAGCCAACTGTTGTTTTTCTCTTTTCCTTCCTCTCTCTAAAATCAATAAAAACATATTAAAAAACCAAAACATTTCATTTATACCATAAAACTGGCAAAAATGAAAGAAACAAAAGGTGGCAATAGGAACAATTATTCATCAATGAAGAGTTCTAATTAGACGCCTATATAAGAAAGTCACAAATCATTTCAAAAATAATTCTAAATATCAGAATGTGAAGTAATAATCTTAGACCTCTGGTGCTTGGCAATATAGCAGCATGGCTTGTTAAATTTAACAAGCCCAGATTCTAAAATCAGACAGACCTGTGTTTAAATCTCAGCTCTGTAATTTTCTTCATAAAGGTTTTAAACATCTTTTGTTAGATTTATTACAAGGTACTTTTTACTTTTTTTAATGTTGCAAACATCTTTAAAAAAGATTTTTTTTATTGATTTCAGAGAGAGAGAGAGAAACATCGATCAGTTGTTTCCCGTATGCGCCTGAACTGGGATTGAACCGCACTCTGGGTATGTGTCCTGACTGGAAATCAAACCCACTACCTTTTGGTGTACACTCCAACCAAATGAACTACACCAGCCAGGGCTGAAAATATTATCTTTTAAAAAATCGTATACCAATTCTGTGTCTGAATACAGGAAAGCAATTGAATCACCTTGCTAAACTCTCCTACTAATTCTAATATTGTTTGTAAATTACCTTGGCTTTTCCTATGTGAACAATCATGTAACTTGTGAATGACGGAAGGATGAATAGTGGGCTAAAGAACCAGCCCCAAAAGCTGTCCACATTCCAGTTCCTGAAACTTGTGAATATGTTATCTTACATGACAAAAAAGACTTTGTAGATATGACTAAATTAAGAATCTTGAGGTGAGGAGTTTCCTGGATTTTCCATGTTGGCCCAATGTAGTCACAAAATCCTTATAACGGGGAGAGAGGAGGGTCCGAGTCAGTCAAGGTAATGTGACGATGGTAGCAGAAAGCGAAATGATAACAGAGGCAGAAGCTGGAATGATGTGCTTTGAAGATGGAGGCAGAACTCACACGCTAAGGAATGTGAGCAGCCTCTAGAAGCTGGAAAAGACAAGAAAACAGATTCTCCCCAAGAGCCTTGAGAAGGAACACAGCCCTGCCAACACCTTTTTAGTCCTACAATACTAATTGTGGACTTCTGACCTCCAGAACTGTAAGATAATAAATGTGTGTTGTTTTAAACAACAGCACAATAAAAAGGTTTAATTTTTAAAACCCTATAATCAAGTATAACTCACTTTCATGATATCTTACTCAATTATACATGATTTCGTGTAAGTGAATGGATAAAATGATTTATGAAAGACTGACTCAAAGTGCACTAACTCAGAAACTCTGAGCAAAGCCTATCTCTCTGAGTTCCCCCTACCTCCCAGGAACCCTCTAAAACAACAAAGCATGCTCAACTGGAGATAGATGACAAAAGCAGTCAAGGGGCATCTCTCAGCCTCTTGTATTCTCATTCTTTCTTATCTCAGCCCTTCCTTATAGTCTTTTGTATGGACCTGGGTGACTTGTGACCTAAAATACTATAGTTTTAGTACTCTTCTTCTGGGAAGTGTGTTATAAGTTATTTGTCTAAAAAAAACACACTTGGAACAAATAAAAAGGATTAACATATACCAAAAAACTCTAATTCTCATTGTTAGTATACATACATACACACACACACACACACACACACACACTGGCAGATTGACTGGTTTTTAAGACCAAGAATATTTTTATGGTGTTATCTTTGTACATTTTAATTTCTTCCCTCTATCATTCTAAAATACTGTGCACCTAACTTCGAATAAATGGCACCTAATCAAGAACAATACTTGATCTACTCTTTCGGCCGGGGTGGGTGGGGAGGTTAAAATGCAATGTAGGGTAGGGGGACTAAAGTCACTGGCTCCCGGCCACAGGCCTGAGACTTGGAGGAGAGATGGGGGAGGTTGACAGCGGCATCGCCCCAGGCTTCCCAAGGCCGGAGGCAGGCCAGGTGCTGCAGCCCGCCCCTTCCCGGGCGGAGGCCGGCCGAGGACCGGGCGGAGCTGCCACTCACCTGGTTGGTGACCTGAAACGGAAGCAGAAACACAATTTAGGGAATGATCTTTCTTGCACCGGAAGCCCGCTTCCCCAGTTTCTTCTAGGACAGGACCTACCTTGTCCTTAGCGTCCAGGAGCGGCTCATCAGACCCCTCCATGGCAAGTGTCCAGAGTTCCCACCACCGGCTCAGCAGGATGCTCCGCGAGCCACCAACACTTCCGCTTCCCTATCCGGCCCTGGTGGCCTGGCGCACGCATTGGATGTGGGGGAGCATAAAGAAACACCTTTCTGTTCCTACCCACACTATCAATTAAATATCAGTTTTAAGAAGCCTCTCAGAAAACAGTTAGTTACGATAGGAATATGGTTCCTAATATTTAGAATGTACCCTGCCAGGGAAGGACTTATTCACTTTGAGATGCCGTCTCCCCCTACGAACGCTGTAGGCGTGGACTCTTCCTATGTCGGGCTCCCTCTGCGCCAGCGCGAACGTGTCGCGGCGCCAGGAATTGATCCCAATCAAAGGTGAAAGCGGCTGGAAAGCCACACCCCTTTCCCCGTAGAAGTTCGTCTTGCGTGGGAGAAACCTGTGGGAACTAGAGTTACATAACGCGCTGTCGTCACTGGGACCATTTCACCCGCCTCGCTGGTGGTGGGGTGGGGGTCCTCTCCATCCCCGCTGCGCTCCCGCCCCAGCCTGACTGCCGCTGTCGCTTCCCGGCTGGCCTTCCACGTCCCTCCTGCGCATCCCAGCTGCATTCCACAGAGTACCCGAAGAGATCCCCCCCCCCAACTTTTTATTCTCAAAAAGGTGACTGGCCCTGGCCAGTTTGGCTCGCGGTTAGAGCGTGGGCCTGCGGTCCAGAGAGTCCCGGTTTGTCCCGCTAAGGGCACGTAGCTGGGTTGCAGTTTGTCCCCGGCCCTGGTTGGGTCTTGGGGGAGGCAGTCACTCTATGTGTCTCTTTCACGTGCTGTTTCTCTCTCTCTCTTCCTCTCTTTCCCTCCCACTCTATCTGAACAAAAAATGGAATATTGTCCTCGGGTGAGGATAGAAACAAAAAAACTTGATTGTTTTTCAGAAAAGTTGCAAAAAATAGTTCAGTAAACATACATAGACACTTCCTCTAGATTCACCAACTTACCATTCTTACACATTTGCTTTAACGCTAGCTACATACACAGTAATGATGACGCACTATCCCTAAATATGCGAGCATGTATCTCCTAAGAACAAGGGCATTCTCCTAAAAAATCACAACTATCACACTCCGGAAATGTTAAACTGATAAAATACTATTATCTGACACTTGGGCAAATTCAAATTTCTTCAGTTGTCCCAACAATAGTCTTGAAAACTATTCCCTAGCCTATCCAATGGAATCTAATCAAGGCCCACCCAATTGGATTTGGCTATGGTGTTTCCTTAGATCTGCGTTCTCAACCTGTGGGTCGCGACCCCTTTGAGGGTAGAACGACCCTTTCACAGGGGTCACCTAAGACCATTGGAAAACACATATTTCTGATGGCGATTCATAACAGTAGCAAAATTACAGTTATGAAGTAGGAATGAAAATAATTTTATGTTTGGGGGTCACCACAACATGAGGAACTGTATTAAAGGGGCGCGGTATTAGGAAGGTTGACAACCACTGCCTTAGACTCTTCTAACCCAGGACAGTGCTAGTGAAATGGCAGGACTGCCTTGGTTCCTTGCCATGGCTCTGGGGGAGGAACAACTTTCAGGCTGTTGGCAAAACTCAGTTTTTTGCAGGTTGCCATTTCCTTGTTGGCTTTTGAATGGCGGTTCTCAGCTTCTAGAGGCCATCCACACTTCTTGTCTTGTAGCCCCTCTTCCTCCATCTTCAAAGCCAACAATGACAGGTCAAGTCCTTTTCACACTTTGAATCCCTCTTCCCTCCCATTCCGCATCATCGTTCTTTCACCACACTGCTCTGACGCCAGCTTGAGAAAGCTACCTGTTTCTGAGATCTCAAATGATGACATTGGGTTTACCCAGGTGATCCAGGATAACCTCCTTATCATAAAGTCCATAACCTTAATTACATCCTTTCAGAGCAGGACCTACATTGTGTTTGATTGAATAACCAGGGACAGGAATCTTGGGGGTAAGGACATCTTTTAAAATTCTGCCTACCACAAACAACCTTCATATAATTGTTGGAGAAGTACATGAGTTAACTCATGTAAAGCCCCTAGAACTGTGCCTGCCATGAAGCACTCAAAATCTATTATATATATATAGTCTCCAAGGTTTTAGGAATCAAGGTTATTGGACTTGATTAGAAGTACTAATTAGCGTGGGAACATAGTTTCTGAATAAATCAAGTTATTTATTTCCTCTAAAAGTCTGATGAGAGACGACACTATGGTACTATGGTGCAGCCCTCTGTTTACTTCTCAGGGAATATATCTGTAGCCCTTGGCTGCCATTAGATTATGCTCCATGGGGGGAATTATGCTCCATGGAAGGCTGTGTGCACACATACACATAAACACACATAGGCACATACACATATGTTAACCTTAACTATATAAAAATGCTCCCAAAAGAGGAAAATAAATATATTAAAAAATTAATATTTTCTCTGCATTTTTTATGCATTCCATTTAGAACTTTTAAAAAAAATTTAAATTAGGCATTACTGTCCCTTCCCTTCCTAAATAGCTATTGATCTAATTTGAGGAGAGTAAAATGTCAGTTGTGTATATTCCAATCTCTGCCAATTGTTACTCTTGTTCTTTTGCTCCTAACATTCTAGCAACACATGTGATCAACTGTTTATTTTTAAGACCTCTATCTTATTAAAGATCAGAATTTGTGGAAGCTTAAGACTTGGAAAATATAGATTTTACTAACAGAATCAAGAAAAATGCTAAAATTAAAGATGTGTAGGCATATATATATATTTTTTTTTATCCTCACCCGAGGATATTTTCCATTTTTTGTACAGATAGAGTGGGAGGGAGAGAGAGGAAGGAGAGAGAGAGAGAAACATCGACGTGAAGGGACACATCGAGTGGCTGCCACCCGCACGACCAACCAGGGCCGGGGACAAACTGCAACCGAAGTACGTGCCCTTAGCGGGAACCGAACCCGAGTCTCTCCGGACCGCAGGCCGACGCTCTAACCGCTGAGCCAAACTGGCCAGGGCTGTAGGCATATATTTTTATTTTATGACATGTAAGTAGGACAGATAAAGTAGAAAATACTTTTGAAACTCTTACAATAAATCCAGTACTGACAGATGTATTAGGAGGATGTCCACAGAACTATTAAGAACTCTGATCTTAAAAGAGTTACAGTGTAATGGAGAAAACAAAATTGGCACACATGAAGCAAGTAATACTTCAATCTAAGCTTGTAGTTTTTGGCTTTTGGATGCCAAATGATATACATCCAACTCAAACTTTCCTGAGCAAAACATCAGAAATTATTGTCTTATAGGAGTGGACTCTGAAATGTAGGGGTGGAGCAAAAGGGCCCAATCTGTTTCCCAGTAGTGGTATAGCTTCTGATTGTTGACTTCATTCTCTTAGGCATCTCCATATGTTTTGGGGGAAGGGCATGTGCTTATACCTATATGACCACCAGCATCTCTAGGGTCACAGCCTATGGCTCATGATCCAGAGGGAAAGTGGAAGCTGCTTTTCTGTCTCGGTTCTGAGAGGGACTCTGATTTTCCTGCTTGGGTCATATTTTGTCTCCTTGGACCAATACCGAGTCTAGGGTGATGCAGTAATATTTTTTCCCAGCGCTCCCTGTCATGGCCACAGGAGGTAGAACTGTGTGACTGGCAAAGTCACTAGCAGCAAAATGAGTGAGAAGATCTACCCTATAGATGACAGAGGTGAGGATGATGCAACAAAACTTGGATGAAAACATTCTGGGAAAACAAAAACAATAGATGTCCATTAAAAACACATTACTATACCATACCATACCATACCATGCCATGCCATGCCATGCCATGCCATGCCATGCCATGCCATACCATACCATACTATACCGTTTTATCAATGGTGGTAGAAGGCAGAATAATGGCCCCCAAAAAGGTCAACTTCTAAATCTCCAGAATCTGTGAATATGTTAGGTTATATAGCAAGGGAGAATTAAGCTTGTGAATG